CCCCCCCCCTTCCCCTTCACGTAACAAACATGCTTAAGTGCAAAGATAGATCCTGATCAGAAATTATGTATGCTTGTGTCCCCTTTCACCCACACTAATGGTGGTCACTCTTAGCTGTGCCAAAGTCTTCCAAAATAACTAGCAGTTGCGGGTGCCTGACCTGACACACTGAAGAAAAGCCTCAAAAATCACAAACCCTTAAGTCTTCTCATGCTGGGCGCTCAGCTAGGTGGTATTTTGATAATTTTGGGCATAATTCTGTAGCCTGCCAGGCTGAGCATATGCCTCACATCGTAGTTGCATTTGGTCTGGAGTGAGTGGGGAGGGAATGCAAAATAAAATTCCTGCAATTAAGAGCAAATTCTGAATGAACTGTAAACCTTAGAATCCAGAATGAGGAATAATACTGTGCAAGAGTAATCTCCAAGGCACACAAAAATGAATAAAGTCAGGATTTGCTAAGTGGTCTCATGTTTTCAATACAAGACATACCTTAGAAGATGGTGTTGAGTGCAAGAAATACCCACCGAATACCGCACGCCCGGCTGGAAGTCTGCAGGAGCAAGCTTCTCAACAAGGACAGAGCATGCATGAGGCTGGGAAGGTAAGGCTCACAGCCTAGCGCTCCAGTGCAGCAGCACGAGGCTGCTATAAACCCCACCAACCTGGAATTTGGGTGTTTGGGCACAGACTAGGCAATAGCTGCTTCGACTGTAAATGGGGCTGTGTCAGAGAGGCAAAGCAGGTTTTTCTTCATCCTTCACAACATTTGATTAGTTGTTAATAGTCAAAAAGGTGAAGTGCCACTCTTGACATACCCTGATTTTCTTTTTGACTAGATCACTGAGTACCAGCTCTTAACTCCCAGAGGAGTTACACATCAATCATGACCTTGCAGTTGAGGGGTGCCACAAGTAGATGTGGCACCCCTGGAGTGTATAATGTAGTGTATAATGGCTGTACCCTGCTACTGACCTGTGTGGTGGCCTTTGGCAAGTCGTATCACACCTCTTCTGACAGGAATTGCCTCATGAAGTAAATAGTCTCCTTCAGGTAAAACTAACATACTAGTATGTTGCTGGTCTCATTACAGCACATTAACCACTGCTGAAATACAGAAAATTATATGCTGAGCCAAAGTAGTAAAACAGATTTATATTTTATTTTGTTAGATAAATCAGGGAGGGTTTGGGATCATGGTTTCGACGAGCTGTCAGAGAAAACAGACCATCAATACTAAAGAAGTATTGAAATTTGGCTAATAGGCAACTATTCCTTGTGACAAAAATTGACAGTTAAACACCACACATTCTTCCCTATACCCAAGTAATTTCTGTAACAGTACATTTTATAATGGTTTCACAGTTTACAAAGGTGATACCACTTTTATTTCAGAACAAAAGCTGCTTTTAAGTGAGAAAAGAGACATCAAATTGTCAAACACAAGATCATCAAAGGAATAAGACATACTGTGAGACAAAATCAAGACTAACTCTTCACAAACACACTCAGTAACAGTCTTTATCTCTTTTTCACTCACTTGATGTCTTTACTTCAAACAAAACAAAAACAAACAAACAAAACAACAACAAAACAAAACCAAACCAAAACAAAACCAAAACAACACCTCATAGTACTCCAATGTACTGTGAGCATTTCTTCTGTGGTATCAGATGCCACTGCAGGAGAACAAGAACAGGACAACAAACAAGGTAACTCAAAGTCAGTCTGAATTCTATGATACCTATCAACCCTGGGGATTTATTCAGTTTTCAAATACAGAATATTCAGTCCTCTGCTAAACATGGAAAAGGACCTATCCCCCGACTTGGGACGCTGGCCATAAGCTAAATGTTATCCTTGGCTGTTTATTGGCTCTTATGAACAACATATGCATGGGCAGAGGAGTGCTGTTTAGTTAGTCACTGCTCCTAGTCTCTTGACACTCCTGAGGGGAACAGGGAGAAGTCTGCAGTCGCTGAGAGGAACCACAGCACTCCCTGTCACTGTGCCTTAAAGCAACCAGTCCTACAGCTCTGTGTGTTCACTCTCCTAACACACGGAAGAAGTTGTTCATTTTGCAGAGGTCTGAACCCAGGCAAGTGCTCACCTCTCCTGCAACACCAGATTTCTCCTGGACACACAGGCAGAGAAGGAAGCTGAGGTTTTCTCTAGGAAAACCTCCACCCCGTGCTGCCACAAGGCCAGGACTCTGGAGCCCACTGCAGAGCAATCCTTGTCCACCCAATACAGCCACATCAACTGAGCAAGGAAATCAAGGGCAAAAAATTTCTGGAGATTAGAAGAACAGCCACTGGCCTTTCATACACTGAGAGTTCCCACTTGTGCCTAAGGAAATCTCACTATGACAGCTTTCACTGTCAACAGCCACCAGCAGGTCCCAGCCTGGGAACTGCTCGGTGGCAGTGGCTGCAGGAAGAGCTCCCACAGATCATTACCTCTGAAGAACAGATTCCTTGATTAGTTTCTGTACAGAGTCTGATTTTCTGGGTCCACTCAGGTTTAAAAATGGTTGTGTTAGAAGAGCTTCTTCTGCTCCTTTCAAAGACAAAGAAACCATATCCCAGCCCAGCCTCTGCTTTTCCTCAGCCTAACGAGTGATTTGCTCTGCTGGACTCAGTAAAGTGTTCTTTAACAGCAATGCCCTTTACTATCACCCATGAAATGGAATAAAATGATGACCAACTGGATTTTTCCTCTGGAAGCAATGCCCACAGTGCACACCTGAAACCCTGTTCAGGCAGAAACTCCTATTTCCATCACATGAGCTTGTCTGGAAATTTTGAACATCCTCTGCCTTGCCCAGCAACGACTGCAAAAGCTTCCCAGGATCAGACTCTTAAAAACCCATCCAGACAAGGGGCAATAATGTCCACAGTCTGTGAGGCTTGTAGGCAGCAGCTTTTCCTAGCAGATGTTTCCCATACTAAAGTTGATGCTACTCTGTGTTTCAGTATCCAGCTAATTACTTAAAATGCTGTGCAAAAGCATTTAAAAGGCAAGACCAATAATATATTTTACAATATAGAGGTGGTACAAACCAATCTAATATTTTTAAAAAAAGACAATTTAAACAATTTTGGGGGAGGAAGAAACTGAAAAAAAATTTTAAAAAAGCGCAACTGAGTGTCACTATTTTATCTGTGCAATCATGTAGCTATTGGACTGAAGCTGTGATTTCTAGGTGTTACACAGTACTAGAAAATCAATGACTGTATAGTGGGCTTGGTAAACCTCATCAATCCTCTCGCAGCCATGCAATGTGGTGGAAAAAAACCCAGCTATATCTTTCTAATAGAACAGATTGGACATCATGACACTGCATGTCCCCAGTTCCATTTTAAGTCTTCCAGATTTTCTTTTTTGTGACTTACAAGGCTTGATACAGTCCCAGGTGAAATTAAGATTTTGTCTCAACAGAAAGTGGACCAAGCTGTAGCTGTAGCAATTTAAGGCAATTATTTTTACAGCTGACAACTGATTTCTGAAAATTACATCATCTGGATGCCAGGCCTGAGACACCTCAGAGTGCTTTCATTTTCAAAAGATGGTAAGCATTTGGCTTCTGATACAAACAGCCTTTAAGATGCCTCAAAACCTGGAGAGCCCCAAACTGGCTGATTTTTGAGTTAAGTGCTCACCATTTATAGATGACTGACAGAAAATGCTGTCCTTTGGGGATACTGTAATTAATAATCTGTTCATTTGTTATTTGGTAAAGCCAATAGTATTTTCTAGCAGTACATACAGATCATAGAGTCACAGAATCACAGAATAGCTTAGGTTGGAAGGGACCCTAGACATCCAGTGTAAATTTAAAAGTATCTATATTTACGTCCAGGTATCGAAAAATATCTATATTTACAATGCACCAAACAAATGGAGAAAACTCTGGATCAAAAAAAATGGTTCACAAGAAAGTAACCCTTATACAGCAGGTCTGGAAGAAAGCATGGGCAGTTCTGCTTCAAGAGTCCTTGGGACCCCAAGTTCAGTCTCCTTTCTCCTAGCTCCTGAAGAACAAAATCCACAATACACGCATTGCTGCCTCTGATGTGGAAAAAGCTCTCCACCACCTCTTTCCTTGGAAGACCTGTCAGTGATGGAGGAGACCAGTTTGCAGAACAAAGCTGTATTCATCCCCAAAATGAGACTGCACCACATGCAGGTCTCCTCAGGAACAAGTCATTGTCCTGTCTTTTGACTTTTTGCTCTTTTTTGAAAGCAGCTCACCCTCTTCACACCACCCTAAAGCTACTAGTTGAAGCACTTTTTGGGATGCTGGCTGGTGTGAGCAGAGGACAGAGTTACCAGCAGGAGCTAAGCAGGAAAAACTTCCTGGAAACCTGAGTGAAGGAGATAAAAGTAAAATTTTCACAGTGCTCCAGCTTCACAACTCCCCCAAGGGAGCAGAGCCCCATCCTCTGCTCTTGTACAGACGTTCCCCACGCTGTTGACCTCCTTGCAAGCTGTCAGGTGGAAGGGAGGCTTGGCCTCCACCTGCATCCTGTGTCAGTGTATGAACATGTACATGGGCAGAGCTTGTATTGTTTTGAGTGCTCATGGTAGATCTGGCCATAAAATGCTCTGTTCACTTTCACCCTGTTTTCTTGCTTCATGCTATCTATTCTGTCAAAAACCAGCCTGTTCTGGGAGTGTTTGAGCAATTCGGTGTCACCAGGCACTCAGGCTGTGTGCTCCTGTGAGGTTTGCGTGTTCAGGTACTGGCTGTTGCCTTTCACCCCTGCAGACAGCAGGGCTATGGGGTTGTCATCTCCCAGGCATCCTGACTCCCATGTCTCTTCCTCATCAGAAAGAGAGAAGTAGACAACATTGCAAGAGTGGGCACCAGATATCCCAGCCTTGCTCAGGACCTTAAGGTTCTTCTTGACCTTTCTGGTGGAAGAGATGAAGGTGCTGCTGGTGATGGAGAAATCAGCACCAGCATTCTTGAGCATCCAGGCTTTGGATCTATCCAAGGTCCAGGCCTTGACAGATAGCATGGTGTGATGTGGCTAGAAAGTCAGACTCATCTGTTTTCCTCACAGTGATGTAAAAGTCCTCCTGGAGTTCACTGAGCTTTGTTGCTGGGATCTGGAACAAGAGGAAGGGGAAAGATGAGTCAGGGTGCTTGGGGAAGAGACTGAGGTACTTGGGAAGGCAATGTGTAGCAGCTGCTGAAGACACGTTAAGGGCTTACCTATGCTTTGTCTGAAAAAAAACCCCAAAAAACAAAAAAACAACCTTCAGGAGCTTCCATGCTTCCCTAGAATTTTGTTTCCAGGCAGCGTTAGAGTCTCGGGGAGGGGCTATGTGTTTATCTCTGCAAAAGAGATGCAACGGGAAACCCATGGTGCAGGCAGACCAGATCCATGTCACTGACTGGCACCACTTTTCTACCAGCTATGGAAATCCAGGTTCAGAAGAAAGGAGCCAAATTCCTGGCATTTTTTGAAGTGGATGAAGGTTTCAGTCACACTGATGTCTGATTGTGTGCAGATGTGTGACCTGCCAGGTGGGTGCAATAGTGTGAACTTTTGCAGTAACCTGGTGTGTATGGTAACTTTTCAGGTGGAGGAGGAGTGAGAGGATAAAAGAGGAGAAAAAGGAGAAGCAGCAGCAGTTGCTTCTTCTGGCCATGAGATGTCAGTATTGTAGCCAGGTTGCCAATCAGGCTGCTTCAGCTTGCCAACGGCCTAGACCAAGCTCACAGAGAAACACAGTTCTAAAAATGTGAGCGGGGCTTTTTGTACTTTGGCCCTTAGCCACATTACTTACTTTTGGTGCGTACACTGATTTTGCTGTGAGTTCATTTTTGGAGAAAAATCGTCAACTGCTCTGAATTGCATTGGCTAGCTCTAGGAGCAGAAACCATGCAAACAGTATGCCCTGAGGGTAACACCAGGACAACATGTCACATGGCAGCATGAGGCCAAGGTTGTGTACAAGTCTTATGAATGGAGAAATCTTTACTGTCACCCTGAGTTTCCGAGCTACTGGTTCAACCATAAAGGCAACAGGGTATAAATTAGAAAACATTACAGCTTTATTGAGAGAAACTTGGAAGGTCTGCCAGACCACCAAGACGTAAAGCATGCTGAGACCCCATCTTTTTTCAGACTTTACAGTAACTCTATTTAACCAAGATGGCTGTCTCCCACCACTGGAAAAACGGTATTTTGCTATGTTTTCTGACCTTAGTTATGTCCATGTGATCTCTGAGTCCTTTGTTCATGCACCAGCATCTCCAAATACTGAGAGCATAGAGGGTGGGCTTGGTGGTGCTGGGGCTCACAGCACTGATACACAGGTACTTGGGGTTGTCATCAAAATCAAAGATGGGAAACTTGTTGAGCTTAGTTGAATATCCTAGAAAACAAAGAACGAAAGGGGATATAAAATATTGTGTCCTAGTGAAGTGCTGCCACAATTTTTGGCTAAAAGCAACTTGGTTTTTCACAAAACATGGGGAATTTAAGAAAATTGGAACACATTGCTTTCCAGGATGCTTTGCCACAGGTCTGTGCACTGAAAACTCAGATGTGGCAGAAGGAGCACCAACATGAAGTCAGCCTAAGGCTGCTGCAGAGCTAAAAAGGTCCTACCACACACAGCCTCTGTTGTAAGAGGGAGTAGCACAATATCTTTCACCTTGCTGCAGAAACAGTGTGAGGATGGCCAAAGCAAAGGTTTTTCCTTTGTTAGGCGACTCAGGAGCAGGGGCAAAACTGGTCCTGTTCCTGCACAGCCTGACTTGGTGCTGCCAGTGTGTCACGCCACCACAGGTGTCTGCGCAGGCTGGGCATGCAGGGCTACCCAAGCAGGATTTTCCACCCATGCCCCCTTCCTACTCCCTGTTCCACACAGCAGGATCAGGCCCTGTTGCTTCAGTGGACCAAAGGCAGGTGCACCTTGATGAATGCCATGAGTTAAGAGAAGAAATGCAGTGTGCATTTCTCAAAAGGCAAGCCTCAGCCCCACAGGCAGGAACCAAAGGTAGGGGACTGATGGAGAACCTTTTTAGAGACGTTCAGACAATATTCTTTATGAAAGAGTGATACATTTTTATGATACCACTATAATTTTATGATATCCACTACGCTTTAACTCCACTTTTTACGGGGCTGAAGCTAATGGATTTTGCAGCCCTATGCATATTAGCTGTACAAGGTTGCTCTGAACATCCACGCACTGTGCTCATGACCCCACAACGATCACCTCACTGTGGCAGGAAAAGGGAAGAGGTGGTACCCTCAAGAGGAGGCAGATGTTGGATTCCCCCTCCTAACACTCAGCTCTACGGCCACAGCCAACCATTACTGCAGCCCCACCGGGGTAACTCTGGACACTAGGAAGAGATGATTTTAAAAAGAGGTTTTTATTGTTGCAGCTTTTGCCGTTAATATAATATATAAAAGGTAAAGGAACTGCATCAATCAGGCTGAAGAATGCATGGCAAGCAAAACAAGCTTTTGCTTTTTTGAGAGCTTAATCGATGCACCATGTACAGGCAAGGTAAGCATGTTGTCTGATCCTCTGCGCTCTGTACACTTGTGTAACAGGAGTCCTCAGTCCATGGTATGCAGAACCCTGACAGCCCAGGGTCTCCTCCTGAAGACTCCAGGAAAGATGGCAGGAAAAAAGGATGCTACACAGAGTACACATCGGAATAATGCACATTGCTGTGCGAGCCTGTCCAGGGGTAGAGCTCTCACAAACTGAAGGGACAGGCAGGATGAAGATGTTGATGAATTGTTCTATAGACAACTGGCAGACGCTGCAAAATCACAAGCCCTTGTTCTTGTGGGGGACCTCAACTTACCATACATCGGCTGGAAAAACAACACAAAAGAGAGGAAACAGTTCAGGAGGTTCCTGGAGTGTGTGGAAGAGAACTTGCTGATTCAGCTGGTGAGGGAGCCCACTAGGGGAGGTGCCTTGCTGGACTTGTTGTTTACAAACAGAGAAGGACTGATGGGTGATGTGATGGTCAGAGGCCATCTTGAGCTCCATGACCATGAAGTGACGGAGTTATCAATACTTGGTCAGGTAAGGAGTAGGGGCAGCAAAACAATTACCATGGACTTCCAAAGGGCAGACTTCAACCTGTGTTGAACACTGGTTGAGGAAGTCCCTTGGGGCACAGTCCTAGAGGGCAAAGGGGTCCAGGAAGGCTGGACTTCTTTCCAAAAGATACTCTTAGGGGCACAGGAGCAGGCTGTCCCCATGTGTCGTACAACAAGCTGGCAGGGAAAACAACCTGTGTGTCTGAACAGGGACCTTTTGCTAGTACACAGGAGAAAGAGGATAGTCTACTACTTTTGGAAGAAGGGGCAGGCTACTCAGGTGAGTGTAGGGATGCAGTTAGGTCATGTAGAAAGAACATTAGGGGGGCAAAATCTTAGCTGGAACTCAGCCTTGCCACCACTGCAATAGATAATAAGAAGTATTTTTACAAATATATTAACAACAAAAAAAGGACCAGGGAGAATCTCCATCCTTCATTGGATATGAGGGGGAACATTGTTACCAAGGCTGAGAAAAAGCCTGAGGTACTTAATCCCTTCTTTGCCTCAGCCTTTAATAATCAGTCCAGTTATCCCCATGGTATTCAGTCTCCTGAGCTGGAAGGAAGGAATGGAGATCAGAATGATCTCCTCGTAATCCAGGGAACAATAAAGGACCTGCTAAGCCGGCTGGACACCCACAAGTACACG